CTTTCAGCTTGCTTTTTTTTTCTCCTCCCCCTTTCCTCGGCTGGGCTGACAGATCAGAGTGAGAGGCGCTGGCAATGGACTAGGAAGCTCGGCTGCCGCTGCTACTGCTCCCCCCTGGGCTCCGGCGAGAGCCTTTCCCTGTCAAGCAAGAGGGGTGAGGATCATATTTTTATTTTGGAAACTAAAAAGTGCTCCCAGGGTCGGTGATTATTAAGGGGAAATCCCTGAATATACTCTCCAGCCAAGAAGGCAGGGCTGCCGGGGCTGCACAAGAAGAGGCAGCAGCCTCCTACAGCACCACTACAGGCACTGCGAGGACATAACACCAGAGAGCAGCTCCTCTGCCCTCCGAAACGACAACTTTCCTACCATCTTGGAGGCAGAGGAAAGGGGGGCCGGGGGGAAAAGTGCACCCGCTCCCGATAAAGTACAAATTTCTACTTCTCCTCTCTGGAAAAAAATCCACACCGGCCGTCTACACCGGCGCCTGGGGGAAAAAGCGGGGAAGAAACTGGGGGTGCTTGAGCACCGTTTGCATTTGCACCAGGGGGAAAAATGTTTCTGCATCTTCTGATGAAAAGAAATCTTTACAAGACACAGGTTTTCCGGTGATTATTGTTTTTTTCTATTTTCTATTTAATTTTTCCATGTTAATGATAGTAGTATTTTAATTTTTTTTTCATGCTAAGAATGATTTTTTCCTCCATTGCAGAGTTAAGTTGTGGGTCTGGTCAGTTTATAAATTTGGACTTCAAGAGACTTCATAGCCACTTTGTGTACTTATTTATACGTTTTTGTATGTAGAGATACTTGTATGGTTCCTTATATATAAAAATTTGTGTTATATACTCCCTCCAGACTGAGATTGCTGGAAGACAATTGTAAAGGGATGTCTTTTGTCTCCTTTTCTCAAAGCAATGTAAATAAAACCTATTGACTGTCCAGAAAGGCATGATACAGCTGTTTATTTTTCACAGTGCAAATTAAAGCAGAGATCACTGCGGGGGTGTTAAATACAACTTAAGTATAACTGACCACGTTTCTAGAAATAATCCTAATGCTGTTATGGTCAGCCCATGAGGCAAGGTTACTGTAAAACTGGAAATAGCTTTTAAAGACAGCTTTAGATTTTGTTTAAGTAAGATTGTTTATTAAGAATTACATTCAGGCATTTAATGTTTTATTTATTTAGAGCCTTAGGGTTTGGATCTTTGGTGTGTTACACAGGTCGTTGTCTGTCCACTCTCTGTGTCACAGAATTGAAAAATGTGTCTGTTTTTGTTAGAGTAGAAATATTCAGAACTTCCAATGTGCTGCCAAACTGTATAAATTACTTTTAGTATATTGCAGTGGATGTCATGAATTAATTTTTTTTAATGAGCAAAGCTTCCTAGGTAGATGGGATCAAAGTTACACCATGCTGAGGTAACACAGAGACCAGGGAGAGGAGGTTGGAGCCCACTTGCAGCAATTCCCATAGAACTCTTATTGGAGGAGAATAAAGTGCAGAGATACTTTGCTATTTTTATGAAGGAAGAGAATGCTAGAAAATGAACAAAAGGTCTTTTTGTTCCAGAGAATGATGAATTGAATCTTTTTTTTTTTAATTGAAGTAAAGTCAGTTATGATGTGTCAATTTCTGGTGTACAGCATAATGATGAATTGAATCTTGTACTAAAAGTTCTTTTTCTGATGCAGGTTGGCTGACATAGTGGGAATGAATTGATAATATTAAGTGCCTTGAATCAGTAGGATATTTAATTTCTTTCACTTAAAATTTAAAATTTATTACAAAGCATTTAAAAATAACTGATGACTCATTTAAAAATGTTTATTTTTTGAGCTTCCAAATTTAGAAATTCCCATAATGTTAAAGTGAGTTCAGATAATGCATATAACAGACATTTATTATTTTCAGGCTGATCTCCGTCTGTATCATCTAAATTTAAGGATAGTACCTGAATAGTCTTGGTTTTCTTTTGTGTTTTTTTTCCCCTTACTCTTTGTAAAAAAATCTAAAGTAATTAAAGTAAAATTAACTGATTCTTATCATCTTGGAAGCCTCAGTTATGAAGTTGTGTTCTATTTACAATTCTTTAAAAAACGTTTGGAAATGTAGCTCTTTGATCATAACAAGGAAATCTGTTCCCTTAATGAAGAAATCTAATGGACTTGAAAAATGTGTTTTTGAACAACTTGTTCCTTATATGTGACATGACTTTAAAGATATGCTTTGAATTTTCAAGAAATTAAGATGTATTTGCTTCGAGCTGACTGCACCCATTTATGAATCCCTCTTGTGACCGACAGGCTTGTTTGCATGATGTCCATCTGGGGACAGGGAAATGGTGCATAATCTTAGCATTTTAATGTCTTTCTCTTAAGCTTGACTTGTACAGGGCTGTCATCCGTGATGTTTTTCCACCAGCTGAGCTAAAATAGCTCAGATTTGGGGAATTAGAGCCCAAACAAGGAAAAAAAATCTGTATTTGCAATATTGGTGAATTTGATTGGTCATTGTTTGTTTTGGTTGATAGTTGAACTCATTTCAAGTGTTGTCTCTAATTCCTAGAAACTACAGGTGCTAATAAAACTACTGACATAATTAATAACCCTGTTTTGCCCAATAAAATCCCCAGTACTCAAATTTGGCTAACATTGCGCACCTAACACACCTTGGGAACCTTGCTGGACACTTTTATGCATGTGCTGGCTCTAGTTTAATTCCCCTAAGGGCTCCAAAAAGTATTATTTTTCTTTCCTTTCTCCCTTCCTCCTCCTCCTTTCCCCTTCTTTCCCCTTTTAAATACAATTGGAATAATTGTCTTCACTTTCAAGGAGTGTAGACCTTCTTGGCCCTAAGGCTTTCCAGTAAGATTCCAAACCCTTTTGCTCTATAGTTTCCAAGGTGCCTACCACAGCTCTATAATCTGTATCTAGAAATGCTAAATTCCTGCTATTTACTCTTTCCCAAAATCAAACTTTGAGTTTGAGCGGTTGGAGCCCCCTTCATTCACTAGTAGCAACCAGTAGCTTTCATCCTCCTGAAGTCTAGTACCTGTCTATCCATTGTTTTGAGTAATGCAAAATATATATACACATATATATCTCAATTGAAATGTACTGTTATTAAGAGAGATTTCCTTCCTGATCCTGAAAATGATGTTTTGTAAAACAGTAACATAATTAGAAATGTTACCTATGGTTGTAAAATTATGGTATTTTCTAAAAGATCTGGTCAATGAATGATAGTCACCTGCAGCCATGAAAGCAGAAGTTTTACCTGTGTGATACTTAAAGCAGTAGTGTCTTTTATTAATTTTGTTATTAGGCTTTAATTTCACAAGTAGCTTGTTTGGCCTTTAGTTGAAATAGGTCTTGCCTTAATATTTTTAACATTATTAGAAATTTTAATTGACCTGCCTTTTGGTATAAATGATTTTAATTTTGTAAAAATTAACCACCATATTGTGAACACTATAGTGAAGTTATTAAGAAATTACCACTTATGTCCTTAAAAGAACTCATTCACAGATTGTGTGGATTTAAAGTGAAAGATTTATGCGTATTTAATATATTAAATGTCTTTAAACAATGAAGCCATGCCTTTACTAGCAAATGTTCACTGACAGAATCACCAAGTGTTTAAGAGCCCACTGACAGCAGACATGGTTATACAAATTTAGTGGGTTTTGGGGAAGAGGAGGAGGGGTGT